AGCCTTCCCTGACTCTCTACTTAACATGGGTCTCTCCTTGTCCTGCCCATCCTTATAAATGGGGTGGTGGTGGCATGAGAGGCAGCCGATCCTGTAAATTAAAGAACACCGGGAGTTGGAAGACTGAGCATGCATATTTGCTTGTTGATTTACAAGCTGAATGTCCTTGGGCAAGTCCCTTATCTTCTCTGAGCCCCATTCCTTCATCTGTAAAGCCCATGTCACAGAGCAGCGGGGAGGATTGAATGAGGTGATGCCAGCAAAACCCACTTGCTTTGTACACCTCATCAATGATGTCTTCGCTATTTGATTACACTGTTAAACATGAATAGCTTTTGCATATAAAATGTGTACTTTTTATCTTGTAAAAAATATTTGATGTTCATCTGTAAACATTACACCAAATGAAATAAGCCAGACTCAAAAGGACAACTATCGTGTGATTCAATTTATGTAAGGTACCTAGAGTAGTCAGATTCACAGAGACACAGGTAGAATGATGGTTGCCAGAGGCTGGGGGGGAAGGGGAAAGGCAGCTATTGTTCAATGGGTACAGAGTTTCTGTTTGGGATGATGAAAAAGTTCTGGAAGTGTGTAGTAGTGATGGTTGTACAACACTGTGAATTTACTTAATGCCCTGAATTATACATTCAAACATGGTTGAAATGGTAGATTTTATTATGTATTTTTTACTACAGTAAAAAAAGTGGAGTAAAATTGAATGTTCATAGCAATGGTATTTACAATAGCCAAATGATGGAAACAACCCACAGGTCCATTGATGAATGAATAAATAAACAAGTTGTGGTACTGTGTTAGTTCATTTTTGTGTTGCTATAACAGAATACCTGAGACTGGGTAATTTATAAAGAACAGAGGTTTATTTGGCTTATGATTCTGGGACAGCTGCATCTGGCGTGGGCCTCAGGCTGCTTCTACTCATGGCAGAAAGCAGCAGGCAGCTGACAGGTACAAGCAGATCACATGACGAGAAGAAGCAAGAGAGAAGGGAGGTGCCAGGGTCCTTTTAAGCAACCAGCTCTCACAGGAACTAATAAAGCTGAGAACTCACTCACTACCCTCACCCCCCAGGGAGAGCATTAATCCATTCATGAGGGATCCACCCCCACGACCCAAACAGCTTCCAACACTGCCATTTTGGGGATCAGATTGCCACATGAGTTTTGGGGGCCAACACATCCAAACTCCATCAGTCACATACTCAGCCATCAAAAGGAATGAAGTACTGATACATGCTATAATAAGGATGAACCTTCAAAAAATTATGCTAAGTAAAAGAAGTCAGACACAAAAGGTCACATATTGTATAATTCCACTTATATGAAATATCCAAGATGGGTAAGTCCATAGAAACAGAAAGCAGATTGATGGTTACCAGGGGCTGTGTGGTGGGGTAGGGGTGGGGGCAAGGAGGGAATGAATGGGAAGTAATTGCTTAATGGGTATAAGATTCTATTTTGGGGGTGATGCAAATGTCTTGGAACTAGATAGAGGTGGTTGGTAGTTGCACAATATTGTGGATGTAAGAAATGACACTGAATATCCACTTTAAAATGGTTAATTTTTTTAGAAAACGAGGTGGAAAAGGGGAGGGGAGGGTGGAGGGTGAGGGGCTAATGAGGAATTGGTCATTGCACACAGAGAATGATTGTGTATTGTAATGATGAATAAGCTAACTGTACTGATCTAACCACCACATGTTGTACACAATTATTGAAAATCAACATTGTACCCCACACGTATGTATAATAAATTATCTAAAAAAAAAATAAAAAAAAATAGTTAATTTTATGTTGGGTGAATATCATCTCAGTTAAAAGAATATTTGTCTTATGACTACTCTTGGATTATACCTTTGGGTAAAAAAGGTTTGGAGTTTTTGCCGACTATAAACTTGGTATCAGTTTAATTTCTTATTTTGTTGTTAAAGAAGCTAATGTAATTGCATATTATGCCTGGTCATATACCTGTGGTTTAGGGGAGAGGAAACTCCTAGAGCATATACTAAGAAATATATCTTTTCCACATGAGATTTTATTCGCATGTAAAATAAATTGTACTGTGCTTTGGGTT